CACTGCTTGATTCGAGACTTTGCAGATGGGCTAAAGGAAGCCCCACCACTGCGTCCCGGGAGCTCAGATCCAAAAAGAACTGTTTGCACACTGGTATTATACTCCGCAAACGTGACCTCTATTGGGACCTTGCTGTCCTTGAAGAGAGATCAGTGAGCTTCACCTCTACTCTGCGCGATCCTTCAGGACAGTGTTCAGGCAGAGGTTGGTGTCCACCACAATCCCAAGGCAAGTTGAAAGTTCCTGGTTTGGATCCTTAAGATCCTCACCATTGTCTGTTCCTCTCCCCCTTCCCTCAGAGCAGGTTTTAATGAGCATTAATGACATCTCCACCAGCTGCCTAGCCTTTCCATTAGCACAGCACCACAGTGCGGAGTCTACCTCCTCCCAGTGGATTACGTAGTTAAGACCTTCAATCTGTTCCAGATCTCCCGTCAGTTCTTCCATCCTCCATGCAGATAATAATAATAATAATAATAGATGTTCAGCACCATTGGTCACCATGGCAATACAGGACGTAGGCTGAGTCAGGAAGTGAAAAGAAAAAAATCAGAAGCCATTTTCAGAGGAGCGCTCGGGTAGCGGGGGCACTCAGGGACTTTCCTGATTTCCTAAATATTCAGTTTTCCCCTGGAGGTTACCCAGCCATGCTGAGCAATGCAATTGGAGACCACAGTATGTGCCAAACCATCACCGTCACAATTGATTGTTGATCCATCCTTCACTCCATGGAATTTGTGAACCTTGGAACGGAAGCAGAGGGCACCTCTGTCGAAGGCTCATGTTTCATCTTTCAAGGTTCACACATGAATAATGACCATAAAAAGCATAACAAACTGAACATGCACAACTTTCTAGTTTCAGATTTCATTCAGAGTTTATAAAATCTGAAAGAAAAAGAATGAGATTCATGATTGGATTCCAGGCAACCAATAAAACCACAATCTAAGCTCTCACCAAAAAAGCACAGCAGTTAGCTGTACCCTGAGCACAGTGTCAATTTTAGATAATGCATAAATCTGAGGTACCGTCTTCCTGTTTTTCAGGTTAATGTTAAAGATCACATTGCATTACTGGAAAAGCACAGCAACTTTCTCCTCGTATCCAGACCAACAATCTTCCAGATTAATTGGTTATTCACATCATGACTGTTTGTGGGATTTTGATGGGGCAAATAACTGCCATGTTTGCCTACAAACTAGTCAATACACTTGACCATGATTACTTGTGAGGTGTTTTGAGATGTTTTGATTTGATAAGATGCTATAAAAATGTACATTCCATCTTTGAAAGAGGTTCAGGTCGATTTGAGCAAAAACCAAACTAATTGCACTACGCAAAACAGGATACATAGAAACTCCATTTACAATCCCATAAGAGTTATCACAATAGCTCATAACTCTGGTATTAATTGTAATGGAGGAGTCCTGGAGTCTATTCCTCCAATAATAATGGGAGGAATAGTAATAGTGGAGTCCTGCAGCTCAGTGGTTAGAGTACTCGCCTTGCAAGTGAGAAGCATGGGTTTGATTCCTGGCAGGGCAAAACCTTGGGCAAGTTTCCTTACCCATACATGCGATAATAATCCCTGAAGAAAAAAACAATAATAAATTGTTCACTTCAATCCACGACTGTTTGTGGGACACTGTCGTGCGCAATTGGCTGTCTTGTTTTGCCCACAAATAAACAGTCGATTCACTTTACAGTATATTCCATGAAGCGTTTTGAGAAGACGTGAAAAGTGCTATATCAAATGCAAGAATTATTATTATTTTATTATAATAATCCTTGCATTTGATATAGCGCCTTATCACCTCTTTGAGACGTCTCAAAGACGTTAGACTCCAGCAGTTACACCCACACACTCTGGGGTCCCCAGCCAACCTGCCAATACTTTCTGGAATGAAGTAACAGATGCCTCCCTGTAGGGAGAGAGTGCACATTCCAATAAATATCTCTGGGATTCCCCTGTGCCGGGGGGATACACGGGTTTCCACATCTGATTTGATAAGATGTCTGAACCCAAAACAACAAAACATTTGGCTGCAGCCAAAGCCCTGATAATGAGGGAGAGGGTCCAGGCCGATCAGGTCCAGCGCCGCGTCACTCCCACCGTATTACACACACTGAGGGACTCCACCCCCGCACCCCGAGTGCCAGCCCCCCCCCACCCCAGCACCCCGAGTGCCAGCCCCCCCCACCCCAGCACCCCGAGTGCCAGCCCCCCCCCACCCCAGCACCCCGAGTGCCAGCCCCCCCCCCACCCCAGCACCCCGAGTGCCAGCCCCCCCCCCACCCCAGCACCCCGAGTGCCAGCCCCCCCACCCCAGCACCCCGAGTGCCAGCCACCCCACCCCAGCACCCCGAGTGCCAGCCCCCCCCCACCCCAGCACCCGAGTGCCAGCCCCCCCACCCCAGCACCCCGAGTGCCAGCCCCCCCCACCCCAGCACCCCGAGTGCCAGCCCCCCCCACCCCGCACCCCGAGTGCCAGCCCCCCCCCACCCCAGCACCCCGAGTGCCAGCCCCCCCCCACCCCAGCACCCCGAGTGCCAGCCCCCCCCCACCCCAGCACCCTGAGCGCCAGCCCCCCACCCCAGCACCCCGAGTGCCAGCCCCCCCACCACCCCAGCACCCTGGGCGCCAGCCCCCCCAACCCAGCACCCGAGTGCCAGCCCCCCGCACCCCAGCACCCCGAGTGCCAGCCCCCCCCACCCCAGCACCCCGAGTGCCAGCCCCCCCACCCCAGCACCCCGAGTGCCAGCCCCCCCCCACCCCAGCACCCCGAGTGCCAGCCCCCCCACCCCAGCACCCCGAGTGCCAGCCCCCCCCACCCCAGCACCCCGAGTGCCAGCCCCCCCCCCACCCCAGCCCCCGAGTGCCAGCCCCCCCGCACCCGAGTGCCAGCCCCCCCCACCCCAGCACCCCGAGTGCCAGCCCCCCACCCACCCCAGCACCCCGAGTGCCAGCCCCCCCCCACCCCAGCACCCCGAGTGCCAGCCCCCCCCCACCCAGCACCCCGAGTGCCAGCCCCCCCACCCAGAGTGCCAGCCCCCCCACCCCAGCACCCTTGAGTGCCAGCCCCCCCACCCCAGCACCCTGAGCGCCAGCCCCCCCACCCCAGCACCCCGAGTGCCAGCCCCCCCCACCCCAGCACCCCGAGTGCCAGCCCCCCCACCCCAGCACCCCGAGTGCCAGCCCCCCCCACCCCAGCACCCGAGTGCCAGCCCCCCCCACCCCTGCACCCCGAGTGCCAGCCCCCCCCACCCCAGCACCCCGAGTGCCAGCCCCCCCCCACCCCAGCACCCCGAGTGCCAGCCCCCCCCACCCCAGCACCCTGAGCGCCAGCCCCCCCACCCCAGCACCCGAGTGCCAGCCCCCCACCACCCAGCACCCTGGGCGCCAGCCCCCCCAACCCAGCACCCCGAGTGCCAGCCCCCCCCACCCCAGCACCCCGAGTGCCAGCCCCCCCGCACCCCAGCACCCGAGTGCCAGCCCCCCCGCACCCCAGCACCCCGAGTGCCAGCCCCCCCGCACCCCAGCACCCCGAGTGCCAGCCCCCCCCACCCCAGCACCCCGAGTGCCAGCCCCCCCCCACCCCAGCACCCCGAGTGCCAGCCCCCCCCACCCCAGCACCCCGAGTGCCAGCCCCCCCACCCCAGCACCCCGAGTGCCAGCCCCCCCCCACCCCAGCACCCCGAGTGCCAGCCCCCCCCCCCACCCCAGCACCCCGAGTGCCAGCCCCCCCGCACCACGAGTGCCAGCCACCCCCCCACCCCAGCACCCCGAGTGCCAGCCCCCACCCACCCCAGCACCCCGAGTGCCAGCCCCCCCCCACCCCAGCACCCGAGTGCCAGCCCCCCCCACCCCAGCACCCCGAGTGCCAGCCCCCCCACCCAGAGTGCCAGCCCCCCCACCCCAGCACCCTTGAGTGCCAGCCCCCCCAACCCAGCACCCTGAGCGCCAGCCCCCCCACCCCAGCACCCCGAGTGCCAGCCCCCCCCACCCCAGCACCCCGAGTGCCAGCCCCCCCCCCCACCCCCGCACCCCGAGTGCCAGCCCCCCCCACCCCAGCACCCCGAGTGCCAGCCCCCCCCCACTCCAGCACCGTTGAGTGCCAGCCCCCCCCCCACCCCGCACCCCGAGTGCCAGCCCCCCCCCACCCCAGCACCCCGAGTGCCAGCCCCCCCCACCCCAGCACCCCGAGTGCCAGCCCCCCCCCACCCCAGCACCCCGAGTGCCAGCCCCCCACCCCAGCACCCCGAGTGCCAGCCCCCCCCACCCCTGGCACTCTGAGTTCCAGCCCCCCCCCACCCCAGCCCCCGAGTGCCAGCCCCCACCCCTGCACCCCAAGTGCCAGCCCCCCCCCACACCCCAATTGCCAGCCCCCCACCCCAGCACCCCGAGTGCCAGCCCCCCACCCCAGCACCCGAGTGCCAGCCCCCCACCCCAGCACCCCGAGTGCCAGCCCCCCCCCACCCCAGCACCCCGAGTGCCAGCCCCCCACCCCAGCACCCCGAGTGCCAGCCCCCCCCCACCCCAGCACCCCGAGTGCCAGCCACCCCCACCCCTGGCACTCTGAGTTCCAGCCCCCCCCCCCCAGCCCCCCGAGTGCCAGCCCCCACCCCTGCACCCCAAGTGCCAGCCCCCCCCACACCCCAATTGCCAGCCCCCCCACCCCAGCACCCCGAGTGCCAGCCCCCCCACCCCAGCACCCCGAGTGCCAGCCCCCCCCCCACCCGAGCAGACCCCGCTCCCCCCGAGCAGACCCCGCTCCGCTGTCGGGTCGGGTCGGGGGGGGGAGGGCCCTGTTGCCTGACGTCGCGCCGCCGCCAATGAGCTGTGTCCGGGCCGCGCTCCCCACTCACCGGCTTTGAGGAGGAGTCGAGGCCTCGGCGGCGCAGGAAGCCCGGCGGCCGGTACTCGCTCCTCACCCCGACACCGCCTCTGATTCCCGGGCGACATTGGCTCAAGTAAGTGCCCCTCTCCCCCCCCTCCCCCCGGGCAGCGCGGCCTGAGCGAGCGGCAGCGGGGAGTGTGGCACTGCACTGTAACTATAACCAGCGCCCACCCCCCCCCCAGGGCTGTGTGTGTGTATACACAGCCCACCCCCCCCACCCCCCCCCAGGGCTGTGTGTGTGTGTGTGTGTGTATACACAGCCCCAGCCCCCCCCCCAGGGCTGTGTGTGTGTATACACAGCCCCCCCACACCCCAGGGCTGTGTGTGTGTGTGTACACAGTCCCCTCCCCCCCCAGGGCTGTGTGTGTGTGTACACGGTCCCCCCCCCCCCCCAGGGCTGTGTGTGTGTGTGTACACAGTCCCCTCCCCCCCCCAGGGCTGTGTGTGTGTGTACACGGTCCCCCCCCCCCCCCAGGGCTGTGTGTGTGTGTATACACAGCCCCCCCCCTCCCAGGGCTGTGTGTGTGTGTGTGTGTGTGCGTATACACAGCCCTCCCCCCCCCCAGGGCTGTGTGTGTGTGTGTACACAGTCCCCCCCCCCCCAGATCTGTGTGTGTGTGTGTACACAGCCCCCCCCCCCTCCCAGGGCTGTGTGTGTGTGTGTGTGTGTGTATACACAGCCCACCCCCCCCCCCCAGGGCTGTGTGTGTGTATACACAGTCCCCCCCCCCCCCCCCCCCCCCGGGCTGTGTGTGTGTGTGTGTATACACAGCCCCCCCCCCGCCCCCAGGGCTGTGTGTGTGTGTATACACAGCCCCCCCCCCCCCACCACCCAGCTAGCTGTGTGTGTATACACCTCCCCCACACCCCTGGGTTAGCTGTGTGTGTATGTATACAGACCGTAGTTATGTTGTGTGTACATGTACACCCCCGGGATAGCTTTGTGTGCACACATGTACACCCCCACCTCCCACCCCATGGTTAGCTGTGTGTGTACCGCCCGCCCCCCCCCCCCCCCCGGTTAGTTGTGTGTGTGTGTACCCCCCCACCCCCGGACAAGCTGTGTGTGTGTGCGTGCGTGTGCATGTGCACCCCCACCGGCCTAGCTGTCTGTGTGTGTGCGTGTGCACCCCCCCCCACCCCGGTCTAGCTGTGTGTCTGTGTGTGTGCATGCGCATGTACCCCCCCCCTGGGCGAGCTGTGTGTGTGTGTGTACAGACCGCAGTTATGCTCTGTGTGCATGTACACCCCCGGCTGGCTGTATGTGTGTGTGTATGTAGACCCTAGTTAGACTATGTGTACAACCCTAGGCTGACTGGCGCTGTGTGTGTGTGTGCACCCTCCCAAGGCTGTGTCACCCCCCCCCCCCCCCAGGACTGTATGTCTGTGTCTGTGCATCTCTCCAGGGCTGTGTGTGTGTGTGCATTGTCAGCCAGCTCGGGGTCAACTAGCCAGGAGAGTGTTCACACACACAAAAACACAACCCTAGGGTGTGCACACACACACACAGGACGTCCTCCTGATGTGAAAGGCATTATAAAAATTTAATCTTATTGTGTGTGTGCACCCCCAGGGCTGTGTGTGTATGTGTGTGCGTGTATGTGTGCATCCCCCCAGGGCTGTGCATGTGCACATGCGCACCCCCTCCCAGGGCTGTGTGTGTGTGCACCCCCAGGGCTGGCTGTGTGTGTGTGCATCCCCTCAGGACTGTGGATGTGTGCACCCCTAGGATTGTGTGTGTGTGTGAACATCCTCCTGGCTAGTTGACCCCGAGCTGGCTGACTATGTATAGAACCGTAAACGGGCTGGGAGGCTGGTTGGGTGACTGCCTGGTGGGCTGGCTGCCTGATGTATGGGCTGGGTGGATGGTGGTCTTGGTGGTTGGGTGGATGGTAGGCTGGGTATTTTGGATGGGCTTGGGGTGGGTTTGAGGGGGATTGGGTGAATGGTGGGATTGGGTGGATGGTGGGTTTGGTGGGTGGAGGTAGGGTGGATGGTGGTGTGGGGTGATGGGATGGTGGTGCGGTGGGCGGGGTGGGTGGTTTGGTTGAGTGGAGGTTGGGTGGGTGGGTGCGGTGGGTGGATGGTGAGAAGGTGGGGTGGATGGTGGGATGGATGATGGGTGAGGTGGATGGTTGGGTGAATGGTTGGTTGGACGGTTGGCTGGTTGGACGGTTGGCAGGTTGGCTGGACGGTTGGCAGGTTGGCTGGACGATTGACAGGTTGGCTGGACGGTTGGCAGGTTGGCTGGACGATTGGTTGGTTGGACGATTGACAGGTTGGTTGGTGTGGATGGTTGGATGGCAGGTTGGTTGGATGGCAGGTTGGTTGGATGGCAGCTTGGTTGGATGGCAGGTTGGTTGGATGGCAGGTTGGTTGGATGGCAGGTTGGTTGGATGGTTGGTTGGATGGTTGGCAGGTTGGTTGGCAGGTTGGCAGATTGGTTGGCACAGTGGTTGGTTGGTGTTGGTGGTTGGATGGTTGGCAGATTGGATGAATGGTTGGATGGTTGGTTGGCAGGTTGGTTGGATGGTTGGACGGTGGGCTCGCTGAGAGTTCTGGTCCTGCCCTGATAGATTGCAGGAACAATAGTGGAATGTGGAATATAAACAGTGGGACACAGATCTTCTCCCACTCCCCTCAGCTACAACTCCAGTTAACGTATATTAACATAGAGCATCACAGCAAGGAAACAAGCCATTCAGCCCAGTTAGTCCGTGCTGGTGTTTACATACGTGCTTCTACCCCTCTTGCATCCCTCTCTTGTATCCCTCTCTTTCCTCTATTTCAGTCTCCCTAGTGTGTTTAGAGTCAAACGTGCTTCTTTTCACCCACCCAATCCTAACCATATGTCACTGGACAATTGCCATCTGGTCCAAGTACAAAGAGGTGCTTTACCTCTTCTTTCTCCCACCCCCACCCCCAATCTAGATGCCACCTCCAATCCACCACCAGCAACTGACCGTTAGATTGCTCAATTAGATGTTTGTCCAGACTCCCATCCATTTTATAGGTTGTGAGTGCTTGCTCTGGGCAAAGTGTAAGCTGTCTGTAAACTCTTCAGTTAAATAATGTCCGTTTTCAAAAAAAAACAAGCTGTAGTCACACTTGTTATACAGTACGCTTTTATGTACAGTGGGTGTATTGTATATATATATATAAAGAGGTTGGATAAAATGCAATTTCAAATGCTTTTGTGTTTTTTACAATACCCAAGTTAGTTTCCTGAAATTATCCTGAATAAGTTTGGTTATTTTGTATTATATTTAGCAGTGTTTTTTTAAAAAAATTGAAAAGGATTTACAACATATCCTTCTCTAAAAGTACTTAAACACAATGGAAATAAAGCATTTTTTTTAAGAAGGCATGTTTGTAATCATTAACTAACAGTTGGTATTTTTGAATATTGTTCACATAATGGGTTGTGCTGGTCTCAACAGGAAACAGAGTTCCAGTTTGCTTTAGTGGGAAGGACTACAGTGTGATGGGATCAAACTTGCCAAGAGGGAAGCTGGAAGAGATCTAGAGGTGTTTGTTGTTTTGTCTTTCCTTCACTATGTCAAAGCAATGTGAGACAGCAATAAACAAGGCAAACAGGATGCAGGGCTTTATAACTAAATCACTTGAGTTTAGATCCCTAATGTCATACTCGGGCAAGATAGCGCTCTGGTCAGGTCAGACCTTGAATACTGATCTGACCTGAGCACTATCCAGCCCAAGTATGATGACTGGGGATCTAAACTCCACTGATTTAGTTATATAGCAATCTGGTCACCGCGTTTGGTCACCGTGACATACAGGGGCCCAGGCCTTAAAGAGGAGAGAATGGTAAAGGGATGAGCTCTGAACAGCGATTAGACAAGTTAGAGCTCTTTAGTCTTAAGCGAAGATGACTTGGATGGAACCTTATCAAGTATACAAAATATAAATGGGATTGAAAGCGTAAAATCAAATCAATATTTTTGGATGCATCAAGACAGTAGAACAAGAGGACATTGGTTTAGAACTGTAAATGCAATTTCAGGACAGATAGCAGGAATTTTTTTTACACAGAGAGTAATCAACAATTAGAACAGGTTAGCAGGAATAGTGACAGAGGCCAGGATACTAGATTCATTTAAAAAGCTGATTGATGCAGTGGTGAGGTGATGATTTTCTTGAGAGATGAAATTGAGATGGACCGAAGGGCCTTCATCCAGACCAATCACGTGTTATTGTGATGTACTCAAAATTTGTGAAATGCCATTGCTCTGTACACAGCTTTGTAAGTATAACAGTTTGTTTAATGCACTGAGTACAAAGCAGTTCATTGCATTGAAAACTGTAAAACTATTGTAGTTAACTCCATAACTCCTGACTTGTGGAGGTGATTGCCATTTTTATTTGTCACTTCACAGGATGAGAATGATGTTTACAACGATTATAAACCTAGATTCAATCATTTTGCTGATTTTTATACAGTCCCTCAAACTCTTGCAAACTGCAGTGCATAATTTGCCACTCTGTGAAACACTGCTTCCATTTCAAATTGGTGGAAACTCTGGCTTAACTCCAGTTTAACAAACAATATGGATTTTTATTGAACTTGGGGAGTTATTTCACTCTATGGTTACAGATTATATGATAGTATAAAGCCATCCACTCCAAATCCAACTATTTTTAACACATAAAAGTCAATGACCACCCTTAGAATAATTATATTAGTGAAGATAGCAATGCTGCTATCTGTTTGGTAACAACAAACAAATCTAAATTTGGAAGCCAGTTAGATTGCAGAGCTATGCGTGTAACTCACTGTTACCTCACACTGCTCTATTGAACAAACCAGTTTCACATCAGAACCTGCGGTCTAACAGGGAATTTAAACTATTGACATCCACCATAGATAACACAGAGCAAATTTTATTCTAAATCAAATCGGAAGCAGTAAATTCTTACTGGAAAAGATTGAAATGGTGTCATTGTATGGCAGTTGAGTGCAACAAAGATATGTTTGGGAGATGGATCCCTTTGACTTGTGTGTAAATTTACTAAATATTATTGAAATGAAATGTAATTGATAGCCTGGGACAGTGTGGTTACCTGTTTCGCTGAGGTTCACAATCATAAGCAATATCGATGCACTTAGGAATGCTCAGCACTTTTGATTGCGGAGTGATGCAGAGTAAATTTGTACCTGTCATTTTGTTTTCTTCATTTCCCCTCAACAAACACACAATAGATCCCTGATTTTGATTATTCAACAGTGAACATTTTGTTAGTTGAATAGTTTTCTGTGCCTGTCACAACAGAACAACAGTCCTTGAGGTACTCATTTTGTTCAAACGGATTCGCCTTTTTGAATTAGCTGTGACTTGAATTATCCAAGGCAGGAACAATACACTATTTAGTCAAGAATATTTGACATCAGTACAAGTGCTTTTGTCTCTGAATGAAAGATAGCACTCCAAGATCAAATAGAACAAGCTGATTGTTCTAGTTAATTTGAGAATGATTAAAATGTCTATATCATAAAGCCTTGGATAATGTACTTTTCACAGTGCTTCTTGTTTTTCCCATTTTGCCTGTGGAAGTAGTAAGCTGCCTCCCTCTGACAGCCAACATTTGGAGGAAGTTGTCACTGAGGAGCATTCTGAGTGCATACTCTTCTGCACAGTGTATAACAATAGTACAGAAGCTGTCTGATGTTCTCAGCTGTTCAGAGTCTGCTAGTATACTTTGTGATGCCATTTACTCAGTGCCATTTTACAAAAAAATCTGGTGGATTGATCTGGAAAATTTTGTGACCGACTACTTTAGTTTGTGTGGTAACCCATTTTACTATCTTGTAAGCTGCACCTGTACAGCAATCTTTCTGTTAGAAATGGAGAACCGGATTTGCAAGAGTTGTAAAGCGCTCGGAAACGTTGTTCTACGTGCAGGGCGCTATACAAATACAAGTTGCAGTTATGTTAAATGTTTGCATCAAGGTCCCTTTGGAGGTTATGGTTAGCAGTGTAAAATTGCAGTAGCGGGGAATTAATTAGAAGGTGAACGTAAGCTACCATTTTTGTCAGTAATTTCTCTTTTTCTAACATTTTTAACTTGAAGGTTATGTTAACATGGAAATATATTTTAAAACGGAAGATTCTTTAGAGTATAAAGGAAGTCAATTAAATACATCAGATTTCGAGTCTCAGTATATTGGATTTCAGAATGGTAATCTGGTGTGGCTGTTCACAGTGGAGTGAAATATTGTCAACATTTACAGTCGTTTGAATTTGCAATTTGCTATGAGTAAAATTTTCTGACGTTTCTGTTGCTGCCAGATTATGTTCGTCTATCAACCTTACATTTGGACTAGGTTAACGTATCAGCATTCTAAAAATCAGTATTTTTATATGCAATTGGAAAAGTAAAAGTACCATGAGTTTATAATTGAACAAGTTGTGTCTAAACAGTTAATAGTACTTTACTCTCAAAAGTACTGTACATTCAAATGCTCTACACATGAATTTGCATAAATTGTCATTATAAGTAATATACTCAAGTTGTACATGCACCAAAGTCCCATTCATTTTCCTACTAAAAAAAATTTGATTTCTTTGCACAAGTCGGATTTTACAAGTCGGATAAACAGCTAAGTCAGGTTTCTTGGTCCCAAATAATGTAAATCCTGATGGAAATAATCTCCTAATACGTGTCATCGCAAATGCATCTACTGACTGGATTAACAAAGAACTGCATGTATAGTGCTACGTTTGAAACACTACAGTAAAGTAAATGAAGTAATTCAGTTACAGCGTTAATAGTTCTTTGTAATACTCTATTAAAACAGATACGATTTGAAACTTTTTTGGTAGCGCTATTGTACACATTTTAAACACGTGAGAATATGTACATTGTACAGATGTATTTGTTATGCAACAGTTGTATAAAATCCCACTTATACAAATCTTGTACTTCATGTAAGTCATATTAAATGTTATGGTCCACTGATATGACTTATGCAAGTTTACTTGTAGTTGTGACCAGCGGGTTGCATAAATTTGTATTGGTCATGATCAGAACAATTCAGTTGTGTACATATAAGTTCTAAACTGACTGATGAAACTAACTTTGTTTTTCATTCTCATGAGGTGTTTTTGTTTTGCAGAAACATACTATTGGAGAAGGTTCTGAGTCTTCTATATGGGCCATTTTCTTTCAAAAAATGGTAAGCGTGTGAAGAAGAGAAGACGGAAATTCAGGAAGAACTGCTTTCTTCATGGTCCTTGTATGCTGTGCTTCATAGTTCACAACACTTCTGTTCTTGACGAGGATCAGTTCGAAAGCGCGTCTAAGCTTGCCGAACATTACGCAGCACTGAAGACTTCCGAGGAGTGTGCAAAGTTTCTTCTTTCTCCAAAGGAACTTGCTATCTGGGAAGAGCAGGGAAAGAATCTACTCTCCAGTGTACCAGCAAAATTGATCAGGCCTCCTCTGTTCAGAACAATCTCATCTGAGTATTCCGAGATGCCAGTTTGCAAACGTAAATGTGCTGGGGTGCAAAAGTGTACACCTTGTAAACTGCCTCGCTCAACAGTTGAGGGAGCTCCTGAGACAGGCTCGAACAATGATCTAGCTCAGCGTCAATCACCTGTATGCACTTTGCCAACATCCACAGTGGAATGCACTAACGTGGGGCTTCACGTGGACATGGGTGACTGCTCTTCTCTGCTGCAATGTCCGGTGTCTCCTCTGGGACCGGAAGACAATGAATTGGTCCCACGTGGAAATTTGAAAGACTTAAGAATGGAGTCTGAGCTGCCCAATATAAATCAACTCCCTTCCTCTATACTTCTGAAGGTGAGGTATTTAACTATGCAAATATTGTACTTGTTTTGATTTTAATTTTATTCATACACTTCCATCATTTGTGAAAATATCAAAGGTGAGATTATTTTAAATTCAGACTCAGTCTATGTAGCTCGATGCTAGTTTGGGTAACTTGGTTTGAACAGACTTTGGTTGCTTTGAACAAGTTTGTTTTCACCACTCCCTGCTTAAGAGAGTGGATATGCCTTCCTCTCCCATGCGTCAAGATATGCCACTTTTATATTAGATAGATGGTGCAATAAAGAGGTTTAAATGTTCAACATAATCCAGTTTAGTTGCTTTATTCCTTTTCTATGGAGAGCTGCCCAGCTGTTTTTTGTGTGTTTTGTATTTTTAAGCATGCTTGTGAACTCATGGGTTTCTCAGAAAATTATAGAAAGTTCCATTTGAAATAAAAAATGAATAAGGCCATTGATTGGGGGTGGGTGTGGAATCCACAGAGTGAGAGAGGGATGTAATGCCTGGTTTAGGTTTTGGTGACTGCTCGTTCGTCACTCTCGCTGTTCTACCATTGGTGACCAATGTTCATCCACTGTCCTCCCCCTTTCTGGAGATTTCTCCGAATATCATCTCACACTTTCAAAGTGTATCTCTTTATGCATTTGGTCAACACCTGAAAATTTTCCCTCCTTTTCTCTCTACTTGGTGTGCATTATTTTGTCAACGACTGTTTAGTGGGATACTGCTGTAGGCACTTGGCAGCCGCATTTTGCCACAAAATACACAGTCAATTCACTTCACAGTATATTCTGTGAAGGGCTTTAAGACTTCTTGAAGACATGATAAGGTGCTATATCAAATGCAAGGATTATTATTATAATGTAAAACACTTCAAACTGTTCATTCTGTGTGAATTATATTATAAAGGAAAGTTACCGCAAGAAGAGCCTAAATGGAAGTGCGCACCACAAAAAACAGTGCTATACCCTTTACTTAGCAAAATGTTGGTTTCTGTTTGGTTTGATCTCCAGCACATGTGCCTCTGCTGCTGGAATCCTTAATGAACCCACAGGGAAGTAATAGCAGTAGAGCTTGAGAGCCGAGTGTCAGGTGACTTCTAGATCCCTCCAACCTCACAAACTTCAGACCCATCACAAACCTGCCATCTCTGGCCAAAGTTTCGAACATGTCGTTGCAAAACCACTTTGTTTACACCTCCTCCTCCACTCTACTCAAACCTCTCGAGTCTGTTTTTTTGCCTTGCCCAAGGCACAGAGACAGAGCTTGTCAAAGCAATAAATGACATCCTCTCTCTCTGCCTCCTCGACCCTTCCACCTTGTTCGACATAGTTGATCATGCCATCCTCCTCCACCGCCTCTCCTCCCTCATGCATCTTAATGGGACTGCACTCACATGGTTCGAGTATGAACCTACTTAACAAACCGCCAAGAATACATATTGGCAAATATTTTTTCCTCTCACCCCCGCTCGGCTGGCTCCGGCCTCCTGTTTGTCCCTCATGCCCTCCGCTTCACCATTGGTGGCTGTGCCTTCAGCCACTATGCCCTGAAACTCTATAACTCTCTCCCTCAATCCCTCTGCCTTGCCTCCTCCCGCCCCGTTTTCAATCCCACCTAAAGACCTTTTTGATCATGCTACAGTCACCTCCCCCTCCTCCTTCCCCCTGGCTTGATGTCAGACTCCTCCACTGTCAAGTGCTCTGGGACGCTACCGTGTGAAGGGCGCTATATAAATGCAAATTGTTGTTGACCTGACTCCTGGACTGTGCAGGCTCTGTTCTCAAACTCCATTAACTTTGTTTTGCTGCAGGCCTGATTTATAGGAGGAGTTGAGCAGCATGATGTTGCACATATGGTGTCACTGATGTATTCATGAATGTAATCGGACTGGATGCCAACCCAGAGTGATCTGTGGGTGGTTAAATGCACTGCCCAAAATCACCGTGGATTATACAATACAAAATTACATTTCTATAATGCTTTCACATCGGGAGGATGATCCCAGGTGCTGGAGGATGGTACTTAGGGCCCACAGCTCTGTTTATGTTGCCTGATTTTACTCGAAGGTGGAATGATGTGAAGCTTCCATTATCCTCTTGACTATTGATAATATTGACTGGTAAATATTATTGACAAGTAATCTAGACCAAACCCTATGGTGCTGTGCACTGAAATCCATTTGTGTGCTAATAAACTATTTACCGGTATGTTAAAATTCCAGCAAATTGCTTATAGTCATCTCAGAATAACTGGAATTTTAGACTCCTGTTGGTTGAATTCCGCTTAGTCCAACAGGGACCTAGGAAAATCGGAACAGGAGAGGCCGTTCAGCCCTTCGAGCCTGTTCCAACATTTAAGTAGATCATGGCTGATCTGTACCTGAACTAATCCTTTCAATTCCAATTTCCCGCTTTCTCCCCATATCCCTTAATACCCTGACCTACAATAATCTATCAACCTCACTTTGGAAGGTGTGGATGGATCCAGCACCCACGGCCTTTTTGGAAAGAGAATTCCAGATTTCTACCGCCCTTTGAGTGAAAAAGTGCTTCCTGATTTCACTCTTAAATGGCCTGGTTTTAAATTTAAGACTATGCCCCTTGTTTTGGATTCCACCACCAGAGGAAATAGCTTCTCTGTATCTACCCTATACCTTACCATCTTAAATACCTCAATCAAATCACCCCTCAACCTTCTAAACTCAAGGGAATACAATCCAAGTTTTCACAGCCTTTTCTCGTAACTTAACCCTTTTAGGCCTGTTAACATTCTGGTGAACCTGCGCTGCACCCCCTCCAGTGCCAATATATCTTTCCTGAGATGTGGTGCCCAAAGCTGAACACAGTCTCCAGATGAAGTCTGACTGATGCTTTATGCAGCTGAAGCATCATTTCTTCCCCTTTGTATTCCAGGCCCCTTGAGATAAAGGCCAATAATCCATTCGCCTTTTTGATTACTTTTTGCATCTGGGAACTAGATTTTAGTGATTTGTGGATATGGGCACCCAAATCTCTTTGTGTCTCCACAGTTCTTAATTTCTCTGCATTAAGAAAATATCCTGCTTCATCTTTTTTCTTTCCATAGTGGATGACCTCGCACTTCGCTACATTGAACTCCATTTGCCATAGCTTTGCCCACTCACTTAATCTATCTAAATCCCTTGGTAACTTCTTATAATAATAATCCTTGCATTTGATATAGCGCTTTTCACGTCGGGAGGACGTCCCAAAGCACTTCACAGAACACACTGTAAAGTGAATTGACTGTATATTTGTGGGCGAATGCGGCAGCCAATTGCGCACAGCAATATCCCACAAACAGTTGTAGATTGAAAATGACCAATTTATTATTGTTTTTGGTTTTGGAGGGATTATTATTAGGCTCTGTGTGGAGTAAGGAAACTGCCCAAGGTTTCGCCCTCTGTCTGGAATTGAACTCAGGTCTCTCACTTGCAAAGCGAGTGCTCTAACCACTGAGCTACAGGACTCCACACTTCTTACTCCCATCTACACAATTTACTGAGCTTCCTAGCTTAGTGTCGTCTGCAAACTTGGATATAAAACTTCCTCATCCTTCATCCAAGTCATGTCCTGCCAGGAACGCCAGGGCCAGAGGAAGAGATACAGAGTGGAGGGTAAAGAGCCCCGGCCCTCTCAGTCACGTTTCGCGCTGCCTCTATGACGCTACCCCATGTGAAGGGCGCTATATAAATGCAAGTTGTTGTTATGCAACTTGGTGTGACGCAGCGAGCAGCAGCAGGAAGAGTGCTATTCTAAAACTATAGAACTATATAATCTCAGTAGGAAACACAAGGTAGTGATAGAACATGGGGAATTTCAGTGTAAGTGGGAAGTGGATTACTTGTTTATTGAAAGTAATGGAATACCTCAATGCCTTGTCTTACAAGTCATATCTGTGTTGAAGAAGTTCAGAATTAGTTTTGCAATTATGGATTAAACTATTTTGGTTTTATTGAGCATTTTCTGTAGGCGCCTCCATATGCCTGCACATTTTAGCTGATGTAGCGCTTTTCATGTCTTCTAGACATCTCAAAGTGCTTCACAGAATATACTGTAATGTGAATTGAATATATATTTTGTGGGTGAAACGGATACAGTATAATGGATAAAGGATACAGTAAAACTTGCATAAGTCTTATCTTTATAAATCATATAATCGCCTGCACATTCACCCGAGTCCCATTCAGTTTCCTATCAAAACCATTTTGATTTCTTTGCATTGGTGGCATTTATCACCTACTAACTTGTAATGGCGCTATCCTACCTTGCAGTAGTAATGGAGGGTAGGATTGAATTATTGGTTGCATTGAATCACGGGAAACATAGTTTTGACCCGTCATTGCATGTGCACTTACCAGCTGCAGTGATGAACTACCACATATGCACTTACCGGCTGCTGCAGTGAATTACGCATGCGTAGTGTAGATTATTGATTAAATCAGATTTTGTTTTCATTTCAACATATGCTGCTATTAAATAAAAAGTTATTTCTTCTTTCCCAGCAATTTTACATTGATAATTTTATCAATGACAATTTTACATTGAGTGGAGACCTGTAGCTCAGTGGTTAGAGCACTCGCTTTGCAAGCGAGAGACCTGAGTTCGATTCCCAGCAGGGTGAACTTTGGGCAAGTTTCCTTACTCCACACGCCTGATAATATTCCCTCAAAAAAAACAATAATAAATTGGTCATTTCAATCCACGACTGTTTGTGGGACACTGCTGTGCGCAATTGGCTGCCGCATTTCGCCCACAAATATATATAATACAAGGATTATTATTATTACTATAATGCCAATGCAAATAGAAAGTTGCTGGTGTGATTTTTTTTCACATCTGCTGCTATTGATGCTTAGACAGATGTTGAATTGTAACTAGTGCAAAATAGTGGAGTCCTGTAGCTCAGTGGTTAGAGCACTCGCTTTGCAAGCGAGAGACCTGAGTTCAATTCCAGGCAGGTCAGGGTGAAACCTTGGGCAAGTTTCCTTGCTCCACACACCTAATAATAATCCCTCCAAAACAAAACAATAATAAATTGGTCATTTTCAATCTATGACTGTTTGTGGGACATTGCTGTGGTTGGCCATCAGACATGTAGCCCCAATTGTCAAACTTAAAAAAGAAAGTATCAATTATAGTAACTTGTATTTGAATTTATCCTTTCTTGTTTGATTAATGTCCCGAGGTGCGTCACGGTGACTATGGGGAAAACCCAGCAGGGAAACCCTCGAGAAGTTTACAGTCCAGAGAAATGGAGGGAAAGTTTGATGACGTTGGTCACAGCCGGAGTTATTTTGGGGAACGTTTTGAAGGCACGAGGTGAAGGAATTTGGGGAAAAAGTTCCAGAATTTCTAGGGATAGAGCCTGAAGGATGAACACTTTTCCAATCCATCACTACTTGACACTGCTGTGCACAATTGGCAGCCTCGTTTTGCCCACAAAATACATAGTCAATCCACTTTACAATATATTCTGTGAAGTCCTCCAAGACATCTCAATGACGTGATAAGGTGCTATATCATATCAGGATTATTATTATTGATACAAGTGTGGCTTTCCTTTGCAGTAGGGTTTCATCCGGAAAGAAAACTGGAAAGTATACAAGGTTTTATCTATTCAAATTGGTTATTTGTGTAATAATGCTGAATTAAATGGCTGCTATTAACTTCTGTTGCGAGTTGGTGCTGTGCAAAGCTACTGTTTCAATGGATGGCCCAGCAGGGTGATGGCATAGCATGCAGCATCACCTCAGAACACTGCTGAGCACCGGCAGTCACGGGAGATGTGATTTGGACATTGGTGCACGACAAGAGTAATGAAAGCTATGACGAGCATTGGAAAAAGATCAGTAAGATAAGATGTCTGATGTACAAAAAATCAGTGCGGTTTTGATCGCTCAGCAGCTCCTTGGAGTATTCGTTTAATAAGCAACTTCCATCCCTGTCCATTTGCTGTCAGCACACATCTTATCAGGGGAATTCTGTACTTCTCAGTAACCAGTGGGTGGGCTGCCTTGCACATACTAACAGTCAAGCAATGTAGTGTAAGTGCTTCCTATTCCTCTGTGGGATTTGTTTCTCCTGGATGATTTGCACGAGGTAGCTAATCTAGTCTAACACAGTACAAACCCAGGGTGAATTTGGCAGTTTCCCTGAAGGAATAGCTGTCTTGAGGCAGGTTTACCTCTGTGTTGGTGTACCCTTTCCTTCATTATCTGACTATCTCGTTGTCAAGTCTTCTCCCAGATTTTTCTTCTCCAGAGCTTTAGAGTTTGTTACAGAAGTGTGTGTTTCCACAGGCATGACTTGATTCAGAGGAGGAATTAGGATTCTATTACCAAAGGAAAATGTCTTCTTCTATACAAGAATGATGCCAACTTTCCCTCCTCGTGATCTGCAATAGATTAGAACGATCATTTATTTAGGTCAGAAAAGAGTTGTGTATCAGTCTTGTGCAGTCCTGTAACTCAGTGGTTAGAGCACTCGCTTTGCAAGCGAGAGACCTGAGTTCAATTCCAGGCAGAGGGCGAAATCTTGGGCAAGTTTCCTTACTCCACACACCTAATAATAATCCCTCCAAAAAACAAAAAATAATAAATTGGTCATTTTCAATCTACGACTGTTTGTGGGACATTGCTGTGCGCAATTGGCTGCCGCGTTCGCCCACAAATATACCGTCAATTCACTTTACAGTGTGTTCTGTGAAGTGCTTTGGGACGTCCTCCCGACGTGAAAAGCGCTATATCAAATACAAGGATTATTATTATTATTGTTGTTGGTTTTGGATGAGTCCTGGGAAATGGAGTTGGGAGGTAAGCGGTATTGGAGGCAGGTTCCTGAGACAATGGGTCCTCAGTGATCAAAGCCACTGATGATGATAGACCAGCCTATCTGGCTCACTGCCAGTATCGGAGAGGCAGAGTAGTCCCTTAGCGCAGGGATTCTTCAGACTTGACTCCTGTTAATCCTGCAAGTCAAAGTACCAATGAGTAGAGTACTGTTAGTTTGGACAGTGCTCTCAATGGCAAGTTATGCAGGTTTAGCTGGTTAAACAACAAGAAGTTGCACTTATATAGTACCCTTCAAGCGGGCTGGTGTCTCGGAGAAGTAAACTCCAGCAATACCCCAATGTACACTCTGGGGTGACCAAGCTTTGACTCTTTCAACCGGTGCCTGATGATTTCTGGAATTAGCAGGTTGCATATTTCCGTGAGAGAGTGCATAATTCATTGCAAAATGGGAATGTTTTTATGCGAGTATGCGGAACTTTGTCTAGTTTGGATACTCTTAAGCATGGTGATGGGTTTCCGACATCTCAGCGCCTTGGGAGATCCTCCCAACAAGGCAAGGTACTCGATATGACTATGCAAACTTCGTGCTTGTCGGCCTCCCCAACTCCTCCCTCCATAGACTGCAGATCATCCAGAACTCTGCAGCATGTGTCCTCTCCTGCACCAGGCTCCATGATCCTATAACCCCCATCCTTGCCTGACTCCACTTTCCATCACACAGAGGATACAGTTCAAGATGCTGGTCCTCACCTTCAAAGCCCTCATGGTCTTGCTCCCCACTACCTCTGCGACCTCCTTAACCCCTACCAACCTACCCCTCCCTCCGCCCAGCAGGCTCTGGCCTGCTTCACGTTCCCCCACCTCGCCCGCCCACCATTGGCGGGCAAGCCTTCAGCCACTCTGCCCCCCCGCTCTCTGGAACTCCATCCCACAGTCCCTCCGCCTCACCCCCTATCTTGCCTCCTTCAAGACCAGTCTCAAGACCCTCCTCTTTGATTGTGCCTTCGATCACCCTCCTTCTCCCCCTGCCTTTCTCCCTCCCCGATCTCGATCCCCAGCTCGGGTCCGAAACACTGACTATCCAGCACCTTGGATGTCCTCCTGACGTGAAAGGTGCTAAACAAATGTAATTTTGTTGTTTTGTTGTATATACGCAATTTTTGTAATGCACCTGCCTCACCAATGTTTATTCAAATAATTTTGCAGTCTAGAAATTTAGCAGGTGTGATATTCTGTAATCCTTTGTACTGTCAAAATATTCTTGTTGTATAGCCTGTTCAGGACTCAATTTAGCTTAAATTTCTAGACTGCAACATTATTCGAATAAACATTGGTGAAAAATGTCCTGTCCTAAACAGGGCAGAAAAACTCACTTCCTTAATATTGCCAGCATTACAGGTACTAATTTGTCATTTTTTGCATTTCAGGTCTTCTCTCATTTGTCGTTGAAGGAACGGTGCCTTTCAGCATCTTTAGTCTGCAAGTACTGGCGTGATCTTGGTTTAGATTTTCAGTTTTGGAAACAGCTAGACCTCAGTGGGCGACAGCAGGTATGAAATTGTGCAGTTGTGATACTCAAAGAAAGTCAATACACCATTGTTTGTAATTGTTATTAGCAAGAAAGGAAGCAGGTGTCAAGATATATGTCATATAAGTTATATACGTAAACTATTTTGACAGAGGAAGGAAATATTTGCTTATTTCTTTACAGTACCCAGAACACTGTTTTTTGCTCACGTGTCCAACGTTACATAATAATAATCCCTGCATTTGATATAGCGCCTTATCGCCTCTTCGAGACGTCTCAAAGAGCTTTGCAGAATATACTGTAAAGTGAATTGACTGTATATTTTGTGCGCACAGCAGTGTCCCGCAAACAGTCGTGGATTCAAGTAATCAATTTTTTTTTAAAGGAATTATTACTCCCGAAAAAGCGATCCGTCAGTCAACTAACATTCCTACTACTTCCTACTACTTGGTAAACAGGCGTGTTGAGTAAGGAAACTTGCCCAAGATATCCCCCTGCCAGGAATCGAACCCAAGTCTCGCTTGTGAGTCGAGTGCTGTAACCACTGAGCTACAGGACTTCATGCATGTCTGATATTCTGGGTGTGTGCCTACAGTAATCCCTAGAAAATGTGAAGTTTATTAAGCTAATTCTCATAAATAACCAGGTTCAAAAATACTATAATTTTAAATCCGTTCTGCCATTCCTTTAATGTGGTTGCTCAGGACCTTGCCGCCTCCTTCACTTGAGCGAGTGGGTTGATATGTGATGCACACAGCTTGTGTTGACTCTTGTCAGTAGGACATGACGTGCACAATTCAGGTTTGCTTCTCTCTCTGCCTCAGTATGAAACAGTCAATTGGTGAATGTGACTGAACACCTTTGGTCTTTTCCTCCTCATGCTCCCCAGTGAGAAAAAATCCACAGCAAGAATGTTTGCTTAGGGCACGTGTGCTAAAGATTTCCGTACTCTTCTTTCCTATCCTCAGCATTGCCTGAGCTCCTGCACCATCAACCTTCTACAGTCAACAGTCGTGGAGTCCTGTAGCTCAGTGGTTAGAGCACTCGCTTTACAAGTGAGAGAGTTCAATTCCAGGCAGGGCGAAACCTTGGGCAAGTTTCCTTACTCCACACGCCTAATAATAATCCCTCCAAAAAAACTAAACAATAATAAATTGGTCATTTTCAATCCACGACTGTTTGTGGGACACTGCTGTGCGCAATTGGCTGCCGCGTTCGCCCACAAATATACAGTCAATTCACTTTACAGTATATTCTGTGAAGCGCTTTGGGACGTCTAGAAGACGTGAAAAGCGCTATATCAAATGCAAGGATTATTATTATTTATTAACAGACTGAACAGAGGCAAAGCAGTGAACAAGGGGAGAGAGTGAGAACAAAAAGAGGAAAAAAGGGACATCAAATAATTTGTTTTCTTCCCTTTGTCATTTTTGATCTGCCTTGCATGTGAGAGAATTAGCTATAGATATACAGTTGATAATACAAACAAACAGAACAACATGCCTGGTCTGCACTTGGCAGCTTCCCAGGGTAGCACGTTTGAGATCAGGAGCTCATGGTGAGTAGAATCAATGTGCGCAGAGCTGGGTCTTGATCTCCACTTTGCAGCTTTGTTTTGATGCAAAGTGTGTGCTACTTTTTGGAGGCAAAAAGCTGGGGAATAAATAGAAATCCTTAAACTGCTGTAGCCTGCCAGCCCGTAACTTGTACATCTTAAAAAGGCTTCTTGACTTTTTCCCATCTGGGGTTTTGCACAACTGAAATACGATCCCATCTGCTGCACAATGCAAGCTCCTGGCTCACCTCGGGCAAACACCACACATGTTACTTGAAGTTTGAGAATGTGGGAGTTATTTGAATTGGAAATCCCAGATTGTGAGAAGGTGTCTTGTTTTGCTGCCAATCAAACATAGAGAAGAAACTGTTTGGGGATAAGGAAAATTCATGAGTGACTTGAGTCAAATATGGCAGCCACTTGTTGTAAGCAAAGTTCTGTAAATATTAATGAATTATGAAATCTGAAGGATTTTTGGTAAGGATGCTGGGAGAGACTTCCTTCTGTTTTCTTTCTTGGAAATTAAATACAATACAGTTTACATTTATATATCACCTTTCATGTCGAGAGGACATCTCAAAGCTCTTTACATTGCTGGATGGTCAGACAAGATGGGGGTGGAGGTGGTGGTGGGAGCTGAAGGGGTTTGGGAGGGGAAAGATGACTGAACATACACAAGGTGATAACTAACCATTTGAGTTGAGAGATGTAGACCAGGTGCCAGAATGCCATTTGAATACGATCTGTTCTTTTCACAGTTCCTCACCGCAATTGAAATATTATAAAATTTGCTGATGCGACCAAACTACATGATAGCCCACATTCAAGCAGATCTGGGGAAATTAAGCAGTCAGACTGAAGAATGCGATGAATTCTGCCCTCTGTCTCTTTTTGAACGCATTACCTCACTGCCTTAGCTCTGGAGGTTTTCTGGAGGAGAATGCAATTGCTGAGATTTCTGATTTATTCTTGTCCTGTATTCATTGGAATCCTGTAGCTCAGTGGTTAGAGCACTCGCCTCGCAAGCGAGAGACCTGGGTTTGATTCCAGGCAGGGCGAAATGTTGGGCAAGTTTCCTTACTCCACACGCCTCTGTTTACCTAGTAGTAAGTAGGAATCAGGTTGTTAGTCGATTGGCAGATTGCTCTTTTGGGGATAATAATCCCTCAAAAAAGTAATAATAATTTGGTCATTCAATCCACGACTGTTTGTGGGACACTGCTGTGTGCAATTGGCTGCTGCTTTTCGCCCACAAATATACAGTCAATTCACTTTACAGTATATTCTGTGAAGCGCTTTGAGACATGAAAAGCGCAATATCAAATGCAAGGATGATTATTATTATTATTATTGTGTTGTGCACTCCAGAGTATGTACTGGATGTGCAGTTGAGATTATCTAGTAGAAAATGAATTGAGTTAAAGCTGTTCTTTAATTACAGTGATGGGAAGGTTTATTGATATAATTATAGAACAGCAGGTATTAATATGTTAACTGACCCTTTTAGATGAATCATTATTGGAATAGCATTTGCGGAGGTGAGAAGAGGGATTTCAGTTGGCTGCTTAAGTGTATCTTCTCCGTAGCATCTCAAACTACGCTTTTGAAATGGAAATTACACATATTATAGTACATGCCTAAACTGCCATAGAAATGAATTTGGAAGGCAAATTCAGCTTTATAAAAATTGTGTACTTGGATTGAGACTTCTATATGGACTGTGTAACAAAAGTGTACATTCATTTCTATAGGTCATAACAGTTCATTCAGAACTCTGCAGCTCGTGTACGTCCCGCACCAGGCTTCGGGAACACATCACTCCCACCCTCGCTCGCCTCCACTGGCTCCCCATCCCCCAGAGGATCGAATTCAAGATCCTCACCCTCACCTACAAGGCCATTCACGGCCTTGCTCCCTCCTACCTCTCCGACCTACTATCCCCCTACCTACCTGCCCGTACCCTCCGTTCCTCTGGCTCCGGTCTGCTCCACATCCCCCGCCCCAACCGCCCTACTATCGGTGGTCGGGCCTTCAGCCTCTCAGCCCCAGGCTCTGGAACTCTATCCCCAGTGCCTTCGCCGCCTCCTCCCTTTCCTCCTTCAAGGCCGGTCTCAAGACCTTTCTCTTTGACCGTGCCTTCAGCTCCCCTCTCGACTGTCTACCCCCTCCTCGCTCCCTCCCTTCCCTCCCCTCACCCTGACCATTTCCCCCCTGCTCGGGTCCTGACCCAACTGTACAGCGCCTTGGGACGTCCTCCCAACGTGAAAGGCGCTCAATAAATGGAATCTTGTTGTTGTTGTTGTTGTTTAACGCTATTGTATGAATTCTCCAAAGCAGCTTCTTAGGTACTTCGAACATCAAACTTATTTTATTATGTAGCAATAGAAATTTAACTCATTATAATATTATTATGTTGCATTTATTACCTTATGTTCATGGATAATTTAGTGTATAAGTTTAGCCCACAAAATATTCACTTTACAGTATATTCAGTGAAGCTTTTTGAGACATCTTGAAGATGTGATATAGTACTATATCAAATGGAATGATTATTGTTATGTTATAGGATGAGTCAGGCCTATTTTGATCTTCTCCTCTCTTAAACGAGTTTTGACTTTTTCATCTTTTCAGTGGTATGGTTCTGCAGCAGCCAGATACCCTTTGGTAGCATGATCATGTGTGAACTTCAACCTTCAGTATAGCCAGACGATTCAACTTTGGAGAAGTGCATTGCGCCTATATCCATTCCTGTCCTTGTATGATACCCAAATATTTATGCCTCCAGCAGCAGTTGCTTGATAGCTTCCAGCAGTGGGAACCCTGGCTGAGTTTGAACTTTGGCTCATTTGGTCTCCCTTGTCCATAAAGCAATCTTACTGCTGGCCTGGCTGAGGCCAGCCAACTTTGGCACAGACAGGAGCTAGAACCTGGGATCTGCCCATACGGCTCAGCTCCTCACTGGTTGAAATCATTGAGTCATCGAGGGACTTTGCCTACAACAATAGAATCCCAATAAAGAGTACTTCATTTTAGGTCGGTTTTGCTTCCAGGGTTGTGGACCTCGAAATTAACTTACCCGAAAAAAAGATGAAAATGTATATGCAGACTCATTAGCACTTCAAAAAGCTGACTTGAGAACCAACGTGCATTAAGTGACATTGACAGAGACCAAATGACCTGGAAGGCAGCCATCGTGGCTTCCTTTGTGTTGCTTGCTCAAGCATTGATAGAGTCAGATGTCTTTCTGTGCTCATGCACAGTGAATGCAGAAACGCTGAACACCCCCTGTTATAGCAGTGGTTCGGATGTTATGGATTCTCAAGTATTCTGTGTTATGGGGTAGGGGGGTGGGGGCTCCTAATGGGTGCGGAGTCAGTTCACCAATCACGTGGAGAATTGGGAAGGAATACTAAAAATCTTCAACTGAAAAGAGAGTTTAGAAAAGAGTGTATAATCAAACAACGTCCTTCGGATGAGACATTAAACCGAGGTCCCATCTGCCTGTTCAGGTGGATGTTAAAGATCCCAAGGCAATATTTGAAAAGGGAAGGAGTTTTTTCTGGTGTCCTGGTCAACATTTCCTCAAATAAAATTTGTCATTCACTTCATGACCATTTGTGGGACATTACTATGCAAAATTGTCTGCTGGGTTTGCTCACAAATACGCAGTCATTCCACTTCACAGTAGATCTTGTGAAACGTTTTGGGATGTCCCACAGATGTGAAAGGAGCTACACCAAATGCAAGGATGGTAAAACTTCTGCACATCCTGTGTGAAGCAAAATAGAAGAAATATTTTTCACCTTTTTTTGAACAGAGTCCACGCAGTGGTGGGAGGTATTTCTCTGTTTTTATGCTAGTTATAGTTTTAGCTAAATATTGGCAACTAATGTTTTCCCCTCATCTGCCTTCCCGATCACACAAGCAAATCATTTGTATAAACAGAGACTTCCTACCATTCAAAGGTTGAAATGCGCCAATATGCTGAGAATGGATAAGCTGGAAAATTGAACTGTGGTGTTGATGTGCAGCTTTCCGGCTGATTTGTTTTTATTTACTTTATAGTGTTCAATTTCCTGCTTTGCTGCCACCTTGACTTTCTTAGTTAAATATTGTTCAGATGCAGGTCAAAAGCTGATTCAGTAATTTTCCAAAAGCCCAAACTGAAACACAAACAGATGTCTGCTCCACTATAAAATGACTAGCTTTGTGACATTTATTTTGAGGTGTAGATTTATGAAGGCTAGTTTATTTCTAAGCTTTACATCAAAGTGTAATATTAATGAAGATTGGATGTGTTCCTGGAATCAATTGTTGCCTTTAAAAAATTGTATATGAGCTTCTTGGTAAAGTCATTTTATTCTTATTTGACAGATCAATGATGAAATACTAACGAGGATTGCAGCGAAGAGTCGTAACACAATGCAAATTAATATTTCTGATTGTCGAAACATCTCGGATACAGGAGTGAATTCCATAGCATCGCAAAGCCCAGGACTTCACAAGTATATAGCATATCGATGCAAACAGCTGAGTGATGACTCTCTCATTGGGATTGCATCACATTGCCCTTTCCTGCAGAAAGTGCACGTGGGGAACCAGGATCAACTCACAGATGAATCCCTACGACAGGTATAATCAAACACTTAACCTATAAAATCAGTAGAAGGTGCTCTTGGCAGAATGATATGATGGGTAGAAATCTGAGAGTGTAACATACAACAGAGGCAAGTGTTATTTTTGTAATTTATCTTGGTACCTTTTTTGATCAATATTTTGTTGCCTTTTTTCTTGGAATAAAATGAACTACAGACAGTGCTGCTCAGTAAATCTTTAAATCTGTGAATATGAGACTAGGATATCTTGGTTCGACTGAGTGAGATGGATTTGTAAGCCCTGGCTGGAGAGCAATATGTCTTTTTTTTCCCCATTTCCTTGGGTAGTTTGCTTCATGTCTATCAGGTTTTATCCACAACATCTGCAAGAGGCATTTGGGTCACTGTGTTAGTGTAGTAGAATTGGGTTTTCTCTTTACTATGGATGTAGCCGAGATGGGGCTTTTTGTGTAACAAAGGCACACAAACAATCTCTTGAATTCAAATGCACTGTATTTTTTTGTTGTTTTATTTCTTGATAATTTTGCATAGCTTCAAAATCAACAAAAATAAGAAGTGGATGATTTTTTTCTTTTATAGGGCACATTGAACAAACTAACAGTACTGGTGACGACACTATACAATATAATACAATGCAATTTACATTTAGATAGCACCTTTCACGTTGGGAGGGTACCCCAAGCACATACCCAGTGGGGCAAGATGACCAAAAGTGTGGTCAAAGAGGTACATGTTGAAACATTCCTTGAAAGACGGGAGGAAGCAAGTCGGAGGAGCTCCGGGCAGGAGTTCCAGCGAGAAGGAGCTGAATTGCTAAAAGCTCGCCTGTATAAGGAAGGGGACATGAAGCAGAGAGAAAGAAATGGCTAGGTTAGTAGGGTTGAAGGAGGTGCAGAAGTAGGGTGGGGTGGGACCATAGAGGGATTTACAAGTGTGAACGAGGATTCTGAACTTCATCTGCTGGGGGATAGGGAGCCATTGGAGTTGGGTGAGGATGGGATGAAGGGCTTGTGGAGCCTGACACAGGAGAAGACAAAGGCTCAGAAGGAACTATAACAAGTTTCAAAAAAGAACTGGCAGGTTCATGAATGATGATTCATGAACCTTTAACGAGGAATCATTAAAGATTTCTCTTTAATATCTATATGCTCCTCTTGGTGACATCATCCTCAGACATGGGGTCAACTTCCACATGTATGCGGATGACACCCAACTCTATCTCTCTGCCTCCACCCTCAACTCCAGGACCACTACTGTCCTGACAGACTGCCTGTCGGACATCAAGTCCTGGATGAGGGTAAATTTCCCACAGTTGAATATGAACAAGACTGAGGCCCTCCTGATTGGCTCCCGCCAGCCTCCATGGTTGCACACTACAACTCACCAGCCAGTCAGGAACCTGGGTGTCTTGTTCGACCCTCAACTGTCTTTTCTCCCTCATATTCAAGCCGTGACCCGCTCTGCCTTCGCTCACCTCCGTAACATCGTCCGACTGTGCCACCACCTCACCCCTCAGGCCACTGAAACTCTTGTTCATGCCTTCATCACCTCCAGCTCGACTATGCAAACTCCCTGCTTGTCAGCCTTCCCAACTCCTCCTTCTATAGATAATCCAGAACTCTGCAGCCCGTGTCCTCTCCCTCACCAAACTCCGTGACCCCATCACCCCCACTCTCGCCCGACTCCATTGGCTCCCTATCCTTCAGAGGATCCAGTTCAAGATCCTGGTCCTCACATACAAAACCCTCCATGGCCTCGCCCCACCCTACCTCTGCGACCTCCTAACCCCCTACTAACCTGCCCGTTCACTCCGCTCAGCCGGCTCCGGCCTGCTCCACATCCCCCAACCCACCCCAACATTGGCGGGAGAGCCTTCAGCCACTTTGCCCCCAATCTCTGGAATTCAATCCCCCAGTCACTTCGCCTCACCCCCTCCTTAGCCTCTTTCAAGTCCCGCCTCAAGACCCTCCTTTTCGACCATGCCATCGGTCATCCCCCTTACCCTCCCCTCCCTTCTCTCCGCCTGACCCCAGCTCGGGTCTGAAATGTTGTACACTGCCTTGGGACATCCTCCTGACGTGAAAGGCGCTATACAAATGTAATCTTGTTGTTGTTGATGATAAGATAGATGTGTTGGAGGAATCATGAGGGAATTGGACAATACATGGAACAATAGTGCGCTGTTCCTGTGTGTTATTTTTGTTTGTAATTTAAGCATAGTCGGCACATTTTTATTCTTTTTAAACAAAGTTTGTTGCTTTACTAGTGTTTTCTGTGTGATTGAGATTGAGAGCCGACAGTATGTGGTCCCACCAGTATATCCCAACAGTATATATCAGTGACCTTTCTCCAGGAACGTTCAGTTCTACCTGGGTGAACTTGGCTACAAACCATTTCGATTCAACTAAATGGTGGGTTCAACCTTGAGATGTGCAGAAAAATGTTTTAAACTGTTGCAGCATTGTGATTATCAAGAGTTGTAGGCCTGAGTTTTGTTCAAATAGTTTCTTTATTTTTGGAGGATGTGCTCAGTGAGGAAGTTGCTCAGTGTGTAAATGTGTGCAGTGTGGCCTAAAGATGCACAGACAGGAAAGGTCTCGGGTTCAATCCTTGACCCCAGTACTCATGAGGGTAGACTGCCAAAGTCGGAGATTGTTGTCTAATTAAATGTGCACATACACACTTACGTGTATGAATATCCTGTTTGGTGCGCAGCAGGTCGGTGACTGGCTAAAGCTTCTCTGAATTAGAGACGTCATGATATAGGGAGCATGATTGACATTGACATTCTTGTTTCGGCTGGCGGGGGGGAGGTGAGGGGGGAAGTAGCAAGATGGTAATTTGCTATGGTTCGCACTCCTGAGCTTTGTCAAATGGTCTCTCTGGGGGGTGGGGGCCCACACGCGTGAAGGCAATTTTCGTGTGTGGTGCGTGTGTATTCCCAGAGCTTTCTCTCCTTTTACCAGAAGAAAAGTAGTTAAATAAACTGAAGAGAGCCACCTGGAGAGAGTTCTGCGTAGTTTGTGAAAGGCTGGACATGTGGTTCACGTATCCAAATGACAGTTATTTTCTTGTTTTGTCACAATTAGGTTGGCTACTGTTCTAGCTATTTTGTTCTATTTTGTCACTCAAATATGATGATTTCAATGCATAAAGCTGAGTAATTTCATATGATGGTGGAGTCCTGTAGCTCAGCGGTTAGAGCATTCGCCTTGCAAGCGAGAGACCTGGGTTCGATTCCCAGCAGGGCGAAAAGTTAGGCAAATTTCCTAAGAACCTGGTTGTTAGTCAATTGGCGGATCGCTTTTCTGGGGGAAATAATTCTTTCAAAAAGGTAAGTGAACAAAGTTGCGTTAGAAAGAGATGCTGCCGATTTGGCTTATCGCCACCTTTCCCTTTTCCTCTCCCCCACCCAGTCACGCACAGCCGCCAGTTATCTGAGTAAAGCGTTTTGAGACGTCCTCCCGACGTGAAAGACACTGTAAATTATTATTATTGTTGCCATTGTGTGCAAAAGAAGGGAAGCTAAGAGGTGTAAAGATGGAGTTTGGATTTACTTTTCCTGGGTGGTGGGAACATCCTGAACCTATTCTCTGAGAGGTACTGAAGAACAAATCCAGAAGGTGGTGCTGGCGTCACAAGTTTTCTACACAGTCTAATTCCCACACTGGTTCAGATTTTAGGATCGGAGACTGACTGGGTGTGCGGTGCATAGAATACATTGTGTAGCAACAATCCTGTTGATGCGTGCTTTGAATTTTGTGAGCACTGGCAAATTGTTGACCCTTAACATGAATACACAAAACACATTTGCTCTTAAGTGATTAACCTAACAGCATAGGAATTATTGTGTGAATAATAATCCTACACTTATTCTCTCTCTTGTGTAGTAAATATATCAAATTAGGCAATTCACTTTGCTGAACTTCGAGAAGCTCAGGGTTTCGCACTTAATAATGACTTCCACAAAGTCCACCTTTGTGGTGTTTCTCACATGGAGATTGTTCATGATTTTATGATTTTAATAAATACAGAGCTTTGTATCTTTAGTACTTTCTTAGGGAAATTTGAAGACTTAAACTTCAGTGTAGGTTTGATGTGGTGTTGAGCCAAACAACAACAATTTGCATTTATATAGAGCGCATGCAACAAGGTCCCATAATGGTCCAGGCAGCGTCTCAGATTTGATCTCTCATTTATGCAAAGTTAACCAACTTAATCATTGGAATGGCAGAAATATTTCCCAAAAAGGATTTTGATTTTGATGTATTCTCACATCCCCCATATGGGTATTCTCTGCGTTTACACACTCATCCTGATTTTTGTGCTTTGTTATTCTGGGATGCTGTGTAAGGCAAGAAGATCAGAGCACAGGAGCTCATAGAAAATTCTGAATTTTAAAATTCACTGAGGTCAGAAAATGGTTTCTGAGATGTGGAGAGGAACAATAAAGATTAAAAAAATTTTTTTTTGAAATTCTCTGCTGCTGATCCCTTCCCATTTGTAAGTTTCTCTTTTTGAATGTTAGATCTTTCTATTATTTTTATTCTCACAGAAGGTTGGGATATTCTAGTTTTACAAAAGATGTCAGCACTGATCTGTGGTTGACTTGGTTGGCATCATTGAGTGGGATTGGAAGGACTCTGCTCCAGGCCATTGCTTCCTCTTCACACACTTGAATCCAATTAAAATTGGCAGTGCTCACCTTTTGAGGGTAGTCAAGATGAGGTTTTAATTTTGGCCTCAGAATTGTGTTTCATCCATGTTACAGTAGCAGACAGGGAAGCTAATTGAGCTGAGGAAGCTTTTGGCACACCGGATGCTGGTTTTAGGTATGGAAGATAAAATATAAGCCTGATATATTATTGGATAAGAGAGCGAGGAGTGGAAATTCAGTACATGGTAAATTTATAAGCTTCATTCACGGTTTTGACATTAGGTATCGATGGAACATTTGTCATTTGAATTATATACGTGTTATACGGTCACAATAGATGTTGAAAGTGACCTCAGCAA